CATTATAATCTGGTAACATAATAACACTGACAATCCTTTTCCTTATAGACAGACACACACCAGCTCCTGTTCAGTGTTTGAATATGAAGAAAGCTCAGCGCATTTCCTGTGGACAGGACCACACGGCCATTTTGACAAAGGTTAGACAACAGGAGCATTTTGATGCTCTCCTTTCTTACTAATATATTATTGTAAAGAGTGTGGATTTAAACAAAAAAAAATGAAATTATTCAAGGAATGCAAAAAAAGGATTTTGAATGTTGTCTCAAAAACATCTTCCTATAGAAGTTACAAGTTCTAAACATGAAAAAAGAAAGCTGAAAGAGAATGAAAAGCTCTGTGGAGTTTGATTTTGATGCCGTACTTACCACTGGGACACAAATTTTAAAAGCAACTTAATTCTTTATTTTTTGCAAACATATTAAAATAGTTGTCATGTAAAAGTAAATGGCTGTGGGACTTTACACTGTGGTTGTGTGTTTGGCTCCTCAGCATGGGGCAGTGTTTACATTTGGCTCCGGTCAACACGGACAGCTCGGTCACAACTCACTACGCAACGAACTGCGTCCTCGACTTGTTGCGGAGCTCTGGGGGGCAAAGGTCACCAAGATTACATGTGGAAGGTACGACACACATACTGTTTAATTCATGATCTAATTTTTTTCAGCTTTAACAAGGAATGTTTCTTTGTTTATTTTTCTCAGCTTTTACATCCATGTGAAGCAATTATACATTTTAAATGTATCACAATTCTTTTAGAATACATTTTTATACAGAGTTAAAAAAAATTAAAATAGATTAATTTAAAGATCACTGGTTATACAGTTACATGAGCATGCTAATATAAAACACCTTAAGTTATTATATTATCACTGAAGAGACTAACAGATATCAGAGACAACATCAAGCATCTTAAATAAAAATGCTTAAAGTAAAGCAGTTAGTAAAGTGTATATGTGGGTTTGAGGTCTAAATATTTAGTATATTATCATCTACACAGGAATCACACTTTAGTGCTGA